AATTGCTATTGGCATTTCCCCCCTCGGATTCAGCTGGTTAATGTGTAAACTACTTGTCAGCAAATAGCACTTTGTCACTGAAATCACTAACACCCTCTAGAGGAATGCCTCTGTATTGAGCAATTTAATTTTACTTTATTTAATTTCTGCACATTACAAGCGCCTGGTTTTCCTTCCCCCCAGTGATCCTCAGCTCCATTTTCCGGGGGACAATGCTGGTCCGTGGCTATGCCTTCCCCAACGAACGGTGCCGTTTCCTCTGCATGAGCACAGAGTGGATTATGTCTCAGCCTGACAATAACAAATGCCTCGCCGGTTGGCACGGATTAAATTTCTGCGCTACTTAAAGAAATTGCAATTATAACGGTGGTCTGTTTTCAGGGAGGAGAGCTAACAAAGTTATTACGAAGGCATGGATGGAAAGTTGCAGGAAGATGATCATTATTTAAATGAAAATAGACCTCGTTTATGGCTAAAACCAGCAGCTGGTTAGGAGTAAATGAATCGTTTCCTGTTTTTATTATGGCAGTTAGCTTATTTTCATTTGGGAGGGAAAAAAGCACACTAAATTGAACCAGCCTCTGCAGAATCTTTGAGGGAAACAATGGTCTACCAGTGTTAAAAGACATTTCCCTTCATGTTTTCTGTTCTCAGACAGTGCTTCATGGAGGCACAGAGGCAAAGACCAAAACATTTGCCATTTGGCCTTGGATGTTGATGCTTCGTGTCGCCTTCTCGAAAGATGGCCTTTTTTCCCCCCCGCCCCTGGGGACCTCAGTTGCACTCCACCTATGGGGGAAGAAGAAATATAGACTCAACCAGACTTTGTCGCACAGAAAATCCTTTTTTTTTTTTTGGAGGGCAGTGTTTCCGCAACTCCTAATCTGTTGGTTTGGGGGTGGACCCTCCGCAGTGTAGATAAGCTTTCGGCAGTTAGACGTAATTAGACAAAGTAATAGCTAGCTAGCGGCAATATAGCTAGCTATCTCTGAGTAAGATAGAAAGTTATCATAATAACCAATAATGGAGCAAGGGGGTAGGAATGCCCGGTATTTTGGGTAAATCGTGTTTTGAGGAAGTGTAACGAGGACTGATTACTCAGTAGTATTTACGTTTGAATGTTGTTTTTGGTGTTTGTTTATTTTATTTTTAAGTGAAGAAAAAAAAAGAAGAGCACCATTTCTTTGCGGAAACGCTCCCTGGAACCTTTTCTGAGCAACGCAGTAGATTTGGGGGGAAAAGGGAACTGTTGATGACGTGAGTTAGGTTATCGGAATGTGATCTGGGATCGGTCATTACTGACTGCGTGTCTGCGGGGGTAGGAAGGTCAGCTGAACCCTGAAGCCTGGGGCACCACCCTAGCTATTAGACTGCACCCCCCTTTCCCAGGTCACGTGCTCCAGATGAATGGTGCATGGGGGTAAAGACCACCAGGGACAGACGGCGGGGGCTAGTCTTCGAAGATCTGAGGCATCAAAACCAGCCTGAACTGAAAATATTCTAATCATAATCAGCGTTAGGTACTGAGTGCCGTTTTTAAGTGAAGGACCGGTGGCCAGTCATTCTTGTGGGTCAGCGGAATGTTGAAGTTTTCCACTGATTTTCCCATCAGGTTCCTTATTTTGCGTGGGTCAGAATTGCCCAGCCATTCCTGTGCCTGGAGCCGCGACGCGATTATGGTGCATTATGGCAGAAACAAATGGTCTTCCGATCATATTACGTTGATTAAGCTAAACCCCGCTTACAAATGAGGCATGTTAAAAAAAATAATTGAGGGTAATCAGTCTTTCTGTCCATAAAAGAACCACAAAGGAGACTGATTTCTAAATATATAAGCTTCAGGGCTGATGCGTGGCTCACTTTATAAACCGTTTAAGTCAAAACAAAACCGGGCTGGACAATTAAGGGTTGACTTTCGCTACGCATAAAATAATGCATTGTAGTGCTCGCTGAGAGATCGAATAAATTTGATTCATAAACACAGAATCACGTTGTGGGGCATGAGCTAAGGTTAGTCCAGGAAGCAGCTGGAGAGCATAACGTAACTAGTGTGACTAAGAAGCAGCAGAGATCGGTCTCATTGTTCTCGGCCAGGAGTCACCTCCAGGGGTGCCGCTCGGTCCGCCGTAGCTTAGGCTGCCGCACGATGTTTCCCTCTCTAATTATCCGTGAGGTCAGTAAGCAAAATTGGGAAGAAGCTGGGTAGATCAATACAAATTATCCCTGAGCAAACCGGTGCTGACAGTTTGAATTGCAGCATATGTTTACCCAAAATCAGGCAATTTATCTTAATATCAGCAAAGTAATGCAGTGCGGGTCAAAGGTCGGACAATCTCTCCACCTCATAATTACCCAGTTCTAAAACAGGAAAGTGGTATTGATTGGCGGAGTGCGGGGGACAGCCTAACGGCGGAACGGGGGCCCGCGCCTGGGCCCCGGCGAGGGCCAGACTTCTGGCCCCGACAAGGGGAGGGATTTATGGGTCTAATGTTTCCCCACTGTCAGTGAGACCCGCTGCTAGAGAAGGAGCCTTACCAGCCTTGCTTTTGTCGGTGGGGGGGAGGGGGGGTAGTATTAGGGGAGGGGGGGGTGATGTATCTTGTGTCACTCGGTGCTCCCAGGGCCACGGTGGCTTAAAGTTTGAAGGGGGGAGTGGGGGGGTGGATGGGACTCAAGGTGGATTTAGTCTGTTATTAGTCAATCTGTTATGCATACGGCCCAGCTGGTGCTTGAGAGGGGTGGGATGAGGGTAAAGTGGAGTTACATCACCCCCGACCCCTCCCGCCCGCACCCCCATGATATGACTAGAGACGTCCCCCCCCCTCCATTTCTTTTGAACACCTGTCACTGCTTCTCTTAACACAAAGAGGGGGCCATTTCTATTGTGATTCTTGGACGCGAATCCTCCCATGATTTCCGTGTCGGTGGGACCACATTACAAGTGGCATACAGCCCAGGGGGAGGGGTCCCGCCCTGCAGACAGGGGGGCGGGAGGCGGGGGGGGGGGCAGCCGCTTCAAAACTTCATGTCGTAGACTCCCATTGTCACTAGAAATCAGTTTCAAATCTAGAAATAAAGAAAAAAAGGCAGAAAGAAGCCATGTCCTTTCTGTGTCAGACACGTGAATGATTCAATTATTTTGAAAAGGGAACACATTTCTACCTATAAGCTGCAACTTTACTTGTGCATTTTGACCTTATCGTGAGATGAAAGCCATCCTATCAGAAGTGTGGAGCACGTAAAGCGCTAATGAAGAGTTCTAGGACCTCGGTGGAGCATTTGCATGAAATCAATAGCCGATGAGCCGGTATCTCACTCGAGCCTGGGTTTCATCAGGCGAAATTCATTAGCAGCCCAATACTTTTAATGATCCGCCCGGCGGTAATAGATGAGACAGCAACACGTCGGGGCGCCTGGTCTGCGACACAGAGGCGCTCTGTAATCAGGGGGTGTAATTCTTTCCCATAATCCCTCTCAGAGCAAGGCCCGCACCGGATTGGCCGTATCTCCCGCTCATATAACCCCGCCCTTCCTTCCCTCTTCATACCCTCCCAACCCCCTGCCCGGTCCCGCACCCAAGCCGTGACAAATTGCCCCTAAAGGCGACACTGACAGCCCCCCAGTGATGAATGTCCTGACGATGGGGTAGATTTACACGTTGGGAATTTACCTCTGAAATTTGGCAGCATCCCTCTCATCCCGTCCCGTCCCAGGTCTGCCGTTGGCTAGGAGTGCGGTAGGGATCGGAATGAAAAGGAGTGAAAAAGAGGAGGTGGAGGGGTCTCTGCGGTGAGGGGCCAAGGATTCTCGGACAAGAACAGCATAGTCATGAGATCGATAAGTCGGGTCGATGCTTTATTAACAAGGAAATGTCTTGCTCCCCATTCCTGCATGGACCTTTTGTCTTCCTGGACACACGACAGGATGTCATATCATATCATAGCCGTCGCGCTCTCACTGTGGTGAGGCCAGTCCAGCCGCCAGTCGATCACACCACACCACTTGGGTTTAAGGTCAGCCTGTTAGTTTCTGGAGCGTCTCCTCCATTTGCTGCTGTGCGTTTTTGTCTTCCTTCAATCCCGCCTTGACGCCTGCCATCCTCTGTTGGGTGAAATCTCATGCCGAGTAACAAGCAATGGCCTCGAATTTCAGGCTAAGTATTGAATAGACAGGGGCATTTCCTGTTAGTGTAAGAATATTCAATCCATTTATGTGTTGCTGCAATCCCTGGATCTCAAAACTCTTGGAACGATACCTACTTCCATACGTAATACTTTCTAATAGAGACTCCCTTTCTCTGTGCCGACCCGTGTCGTCACAAAGCTCTCCGACTTGCCACGGAGCTCACTGGACATCGGGGCCGACCTGCTGCGCGGGGAGTGGCTGTGGTCTCATTTACGGGCTGCATTTCAGTGTAAAATAGCTATTCTGAGGGTTGCCGGGGGTATCGAGCTTAGGGGTAACATTAATTACTGTTTGTGGCCTGCGACGTCTCAAGGCTGGAGTCTTGTGGCGTCAGCATGGGTAGTAACGGGTGTTGGTTTTGCGGTCAGCCATTAAAGGAATATTAGAGCCTCACAAGATGTGATCCTCCAGATTGAGTTCAGGAAACATGGAACCGGGGAGGACAAAGCTGTAGGGGTAAATCTGAGAGTAGCACTAGCCGGACATATGCCGTAAATCCCGAGGACCGTGCCAAGAGCTGTGTGGGCTGGCTGCACCAGTTACTGGTCATGCAGGCTGGTCTTCGCCATAATGCTGACCCAGCTCGTTCATAGAATATATATCAACTATTGGGTAAGGTACGACAACTACCTTATGCAATACTGTCTGACATATAACTGAAGATGATTTGGGCTGGACAAAGGTGTTTTTCATGTTTGTCTCCTGTTTGTAAACCCACTTAACTACACTCATTATGGACATCACAATGTTGTCTTCAGAAGTGTAGCTGTTTGTAGCTTTGTACTCTAACACACTGTTGTCTGTCTTTGGTTTAGCTTTGAATGAACCAACCATCGATTATGGATTCCAGAGGTTGCAGAAGGTCATCCCAAGACATCCAGGGGATCCAGAGAGGTTACCGAAGGTCAGTATCCATAGCCAGAGAGGGGACGCCTGGTCCGTTTATTCACAGAAATGTAACGCCCTGTGCAATTCGGGGACGAGATGAGTTACTGAAGCAATCTCCCTTGGCAAATCACCATGATTCGATCACTTGGGGAAAATTGCACTGGAGAGGATAACAGCTGACAGGTACAAACACACACTCACGCACGCACACACAGATAGAGCCGCACAAACATGGCTAGGCCAAGCAGGGATTGTTTGGGATTCTGGGCGAAAAGCACAAACTTTCTGTGCGGAGAAATAGTTCAATTAAACATTTTCCACTTCAGTAGCCTGTAGTGATTGTAATCTAAGCAGACCCACTTTGATCTGTGATTATTCCGTCCTTGTTTTCCTTTCATTTTCTAAAGCTAGATCCAGTTTAATCTTTTGTTTACAAAGCTTTTGTTATAAGTCCTTGTCTTATTGGGTTAATAAATGAAGACCACACGTTCATATCTGCGGGGTCCCTTTTCATTTGAATTCCACAAAGATTCAGTTCGCCTACAGCTCCCACGCGGGCGACAAATATCACAGCAACAGCGTTTTGATGTGCTACATGAAAGATATGCTGGGCTTTGAATTTTTTTTCTTTCTTGAGCAATCTTTGATTCAATATTTTCATCCTCCTTTCATGCAATCGATGACTCTGCCCCCGATAATAGAAAACCCGCTAATTTTGCATCAGAGGCGTGTGGAGAAGGGGGTGTGGCCTGGGCGATATTATGACTGATTAGTTTATGGAATGTTCTGGGGTGCTCGGTGAGTGTTGACCACCTCGGTGGTTTAATAATACAAATACTACAAATACCCATTAAAGCACAGCGTGTGGGCTGGAGATGTCATTAACTCCCGCCGTATAATTTATAAAAACGGTAACTGCGCCAGTTCAGGCACGCTTCGGGGGGGTGGGGGGGGGGGATGGGCCTGAGCTTGGAAATCTCCGGAAACACAGTTAGCACTCGGTACATGATGCGTTTCAATTACTCTTGGTTCTTTTTTCTTTTTTGTCTCAGCGGAGACCAATATCTGGACGGAAAATCTTGTTCCAATAAATGCCTTAAACTATCTGTATAACCCATGAAAAGGTGCGGCGGCAGCGGAACACCTCTCCGCGCACGTCCTACGAAAATCCGCTAATGCGCGCCATTAGTCACAGGAAGAAATCCGAAGCAGACCCTGGCAAAATGGCGCTTTAGAAAACCATTTCTCCTCCTCCCGCCTACCCCCCCCACAAACAAATACCCGTCAGTTAGGGTAAAAGGGAAGACCCGTACCTATTTACCGCTATTTTTTTTTATCCCCAGAAAAAGCCCGATAACGGCATGGCGGCTTCGCCAGGAGCGACGCTGCAAAGAGATGGGATCTAGCGGTTTCAATAAACAACATAAATATTTGATTTTGCTCCTAATGGACCCAAATGTGGAGTTCAGCGGCATGTAAATGAAAGCCCCGCGCGATTCATCATCGTTAAGCCAGCTGTCTCGGGGCCGGTGCTGAGGGGTCAGCGCCTGTTTGCAGTGAAACAGCAATTGACCCCTACATACATCCGAATGAGAAGAGAAGAGTCTGAAATATGGGGTGTGTGTGGGGGGGGAGGTGGCGGCAGCAGGTGAAGCCAAGCCAGAAGTCTTTCTTTATATGCTCCTCCCTCCCTCCCTGACTTCACCCCCCCCCAGTTGATATTACGGCAATATTGATTTTCGCCACGTTTTTTTTCCACATTCCCTTCTTCCTACGTTTCCCAAGGATCCGTAATGTGTGCGGTTTTGATGGGTAATTGTGGTGTGACAGAAAACCGATGTGGCGGGTGCCGATTGCATTGGATGTACACTAATAACGTCGCTGGTTTGGGGGGGGGGAACATCGGATTGAAGCTTACCTCCTCATTTCAGACAACGTCAAAGAATTACCGACAGATCCTACGGGAGCCAAATAAACACGTTATACAAACTCCCAGAGTGAACGCAAGACTCACCTTAAAAACAGTATGATCTCCTCTCTGCTCCATACAGTCAGGAGAACAGAAAAAAATATGCAGGAGCAGCTGAATGGTTTATACAAATTAATATAAACCTGACATCATTAAAAAGTAGAATTTAAATTGCATATAATTCTCGCTTTTTTTTCCTTCAAGTTCCGTCTCACGCGGAAAACACCGATGTATCTCGCTTCCTTTTCCATCTAATACACAGGGAAATTTATTAGAAATGCATTCATGTCAAGCAATTACCCATGCATTAAAATTCATCTTCTTTCCCCCTGCTTTCTGAAGTAGGTAGATCTATTGGTTCCTCAATCCTCAATGTATTCACGCCCCCAGGCAAGAACTAACAGAATAATTGCTTTACAGTTTCATAATGACATTAGCACCTGAAGCCAGATCACCTTGGTTACCTTCTTTAACGGTGAAGATATATACTATTCTAGATGATGGAGCCCGTGAGTAATCAGGCACGTTTAAAACGTTCCGCCGTCCACGGGCGTTAGCAACTCTTTTTTCCCCACCCGCCTCCTCATAATGCAATGATAGAACATAACAGGCATGACTCGTTTCACCATTGTTTTCCGTTTAACCAACGACACCCCATGAAAAAGAGCCGATCGCGTTTATTGTCGCAACCTGAAGATGTACATGGAAACACCTCACCACCTGCCCCAAACCAATCGCAACCTTGAGCGAACAGTGCCCGCCGGCACGAAAACGAACTCGTACCGGGGCCGCCCTCCGCCGATTGGCTGGGGTTCCTCGCCGCCTCTCCAACACGGCCGGACTGCCACTTGAGTGCAGCTTCCAGAGGCGGGTTCATTAGTTAAGACGCCACGCGGCAAATGACAGATCAAGGATGAGAGGCGACATAATTTTCTTAAACTATCCTTATGTCGCCTTCTGCGGTGTGCCATATGGACAAGGAGTGCAAAGAATATTTTCCGGAAATGAAAAACGTCTTGTAAATGTGACGGCCTTAATTGCTTTAATCGTTGCTTAAAATTGAAAGGCATGTAAAAAGTGTTGCGATATGATAGAGGAGATTATGAGTAATTATTAACACCCCAGAAAAGCACTTTATCTTACTCAGAGAGGGGTACTCAGGCTGATGAGACAGGATTAAGACAGCTGGGTCTTTCAAAGATTGTACCTGCTTCATGACAAGTATAATTCTTTATTTGTATGCAAACTAGATGCATGTAACGTCAAGCATAGACACCAATTTCAGAGGTAAATGCCCATTTGAAGAGCCATCCATCCGGCAACTTTGCGGATTAAATCCTGTTCCTGCGAACGTATGGCACACTCGAGAAGTGGTGCCTTCAGTGATTAATCTTGATAAATAAAGGGTCCGAGGCAGGACGCCGTACGGATTGGAAGAGGCGTCGAGCCGTGTGTGGGGGAATCGGGGCACTGGGTGGGGGAATTGGGGTTGGTGGGGGGGGTTCCCTAAGAAGTCATTGTTTGCAAGGCTGCCACCCAAGTTGGCAACAGACCACAATTGTGGGGGCGTGTTGAAGTGGCACCCTAACCCGCTGTTCAGAACGGAACGTTCAAGGGGTACCGTGGAACTGAAAGGGAGGTGGGAATGGTACAGAAAATGGCTTGGGTCATGTGATTACAATGGGCTGCTTACCCCACAATCGGCACAGCCCCCTAAGTCCAGCTGTTTGTAGCGACACTACTGGAGGGAACCTCATTCTGATCTTGATTTCGTAGCCTGAGATGTACATCAACTGGTTCCTCGAGAGTCACTTTCATTTTAGATCGAGGAATAAAATGTAAATATGAATCAAGCCAGAAGGAAGTCAGCTGAGCCTATGAGGGAAGTTGGTGCTTAGGCCGGTTTTGATTTTTGAAAGAAGCTAAACTTGTTGTGGTCAAAACTGGAAGGTTGGGGGGGGGGGTAGGAGGGCACAAGCGTGCATGTATGGATAAGACCAGATTCAGTGCATCTGTGTCCCCTGGCACAAGCACACAGCATTTGCTGGATGGGAAGTCATTTATGAAGTCCTTTACAACAGTGAGTGAAAGAGGTTAATTGAAAAATTCCTTAATGTCATTATGAAAGAACTAGATTAACCCAAGCTAATTCACTTTATTGTTCGGAAGAAAGAGGAATAAGCATTGAACTCTCCTGCAAATTTGGGCCATGAATTAGGGGTGAGATGTTGTCTTTAAGGACTCCGCCAGTTTAATTAAGATATGGAAAATGACTCATTGTTCTTCGGTGCTAAAGTGGTTGGAATTAGCAGCCGAACGCCGTGCCTCAGCCGCCCTGTGTCTCCCGGCGTGTTTGTTTGTTTAAAACCCGCAAGGAGACGCCATTAAAAGCCAAGCACTTACTCTCCCCATTTAGCGCCAGGGCCCCGAGTCGACTGGAGTCCGCTGGCGCATCTGTGGGCGCTAATGCGCCTTTCCCTGGCTTTATTGATAATGGTCGCCGTAGCAATAACTTGTTATGGCAAAAATGCCTCAATGGAGGAGGTGTGGGGATTTCTTTCCAAAGCATTCTCAATGCTCCTTCTGCTGCCTGATTCACCTCCTTTCCTGGTTCCTTTGTAGGAGGTTCTCCTGAAGCGGGCCGCTGACCTTGTGGAAGCTCTGTACGGCATGCCGCACAACAACCAGGTGAAGCCCGGCCTGCACCCCCCACTCTCCCCCCACACACAGCCCCCTCCTCCCCAAAACCTTTCAGTGTCCACGCGCAGTAATTAAATCAGCACTTTTCTCTAAGCATTATCATCCTTATTTTTCTACGGCGCTCTGGCTCCTGTATCTCGAAGCTGCCTCCAGGCTATTGTGCGGTGTCACCAGTCCCCGAGAACAGCTTTCTCCTTCCTCCCAGACTCGTTTCCACCCGCTGCGCTCCTGCGAGAGGAGTTAATCACTCAAAACACGCACACACCCCGCACGCCCTCTCACACACAGACACGCGTGCGTACGTAGCCGTTGGAATGAGAGAGTGACCTTGAACAAGGTCCAAAAGGGTCCGTAACTAATGCAAATTCCTAAATAAATCCGCTGAGCGGTGCAAGTCAAATAGGGGACTCTCGTACATGCAAATGCACTGGCCCTCTGGTAAACGGAGTTGCGTTCCTATACATGCATTTGTAGCTGTTTAGGCACCGCTAACATGCAGATAACACACAATTAATGAGCCGCTCAAAGCTTCGCACAGCCTCCATCTATATGTAACCGAATGCATGATTATTTTCTCTTGTAAAATTTCTCCTTTAGAATTACTGATTATAATTTCAGGTTTCAGAAACACAGCGTATACAGACCTAAGAATAAGGCGTCATGTTTATATATATTTAACGTTAAATGTTTGCTCAAGTCTGAACCACTTTCAAGAAGGAGTGACTTGTAAAAATGTATGGACCTAGACTGGAAGGTCTCCGGAACATGTCCGTGACGATGTCTTACCCCACTTCCCCTCCAGGAGATCATCCTGAAGAGGGCCGCCGACATCGCCGAGGCCCTCTACAGCGTACCTCGCAACCACAACCAGATCCCGTCCCTTGCCAACACTGCATCCCATGGAGGCATGATGGGAGTGAACTCCTTCAGTGGCCAGCTCGCCGTCAACGTATCAGAGACATCTCAGGGTAATGACCAGGGTATGTACCTGTGAGAGAAGATAAGCTGTGCACCCCGGACGGTCTGCCTTGCCCTTTGGCGGTGCCCGGCCGCTCCCTCGCTCCACGGGCTGCGGCCGAATCTTACCTTGCCGGCTAATTGATATCCCAGGAGGCTTCCTGGCCCTGTCAGGGCCTCCCCCTGGTTTACCTGGCTCTGAGTGACCGATCCTGGTATTCACCTAACGCAGGAGCCAATAACGGCTTGGCATCTTTTGTGTTGCTGTAAAAGTCAGGGGAACACATACACAGTAGTGCATGTTATGTCAGACACTTAGGTAACTGAAACAAATGAAGAATACAGACTCAGAGTAACAAGGCTAGCCTTACAACCTCAACGGCTGCCCGATCAAACCCCAGTATCTCCCTACGGTTGCAACCCTAGGAGAGATTGTCTGAAGTCATTCAACAAAATTATCCAGCTTTAAAAAATGTTTAAAAAAAAAAAAAAAAACGTAATCTCAGGCCGCTTTCGACAAAAGCGTAAACTAAGCTGAACCGAGCGCTAATTCGCTCGCTTGACTCGCATGCGCCAGCTGCCCGCTGGATCAGATTGGGGGGAAAGCCAAGCAAGCAGACGGTCTGGCATAGCTACGCAGCCAAACGTAGAAACTGAAAAGAAACAGCAACAACGAAAACGGCACACTGGCATGCTTAGCTCTCTCTCTGTGTACTACCCCTGTTCTGAACTTACGATTTTTAACTTCATGCAGTGGAGTACAATCCCTTTATTTCTTTATTTTTAAAGTGAGTTTGACCCCCCCTATTTCCGCAGTGGGCTACAGCCGCAACACCAGCAGCGTGTCCCCCCGGGGCTACGTGCCCAGCAGCACCCCGCAGCAGTCCAACTACAACACAGTGAGCAACAGCATGAACGGGTATGGGAACTCAGGGATGCCCAACCTCGGGGTGCCTGGCTCCCCCGGCTTCCTCAACGGCTCCACCGCCAACTCCCCCTACGGCAGTAAGTATCAAGGTAATGCCCCCCCCCCCTTCACTCGGGCTTCTCCGGTCCTCCCGACGGGACGCTTGTCATCTTCCGTCGATGCCTCGGTCGGTTTGACTTTTGGGAATGCGTGCTACTGGATAAAAGGAGTGGTGACTCTGGAGGCTGAAAACCCTTGTTGGAAAATTTGACGATCAAAACAACAACTAAAAAAAAAAGTCTTTAAAAAAAACCGAAAAAACCATCTGGAAAGTCTTACCAAAAGCAGAGTCAGATCACAAATTATGTTCAAAGTTGTCTCTCAATCAGAGTCCAGTATAAGACCTGTTATCCAGAGAGTGACCAAAGGCAGGATACTGTACATCCCCCAACTTCTAACCCAAATCTGATTATGGTTTTTTTAAGCCCCTCAAAAAATGATGATATCCCTGCTTCCCATTCCGAGTCATGCTTTCCGTTGAGCCCTTGCGTTAATGTAGAGCGAGGCAAGGCCATGTGATTGGGAGCGTCGCGGAATCTCCTCTGTGCCGTGGGATCCTCTCTGAGCGCTTTTTGCTGTTTTTGCTTTATTGCAGTAGTGCCGTCGAGCCCTACGATGGCAACCTCCTCGGTCAGCCTCTCGTCAAACTGTAGCAGTGCACACGGCATATTCTCTTTCTCACCTGCCAATGTCATCTCTGCAGTGAAACAAAAGAGCGCCTTTGCCCCCGTTGTCAGGCCCCAAGCCTCTCCACCGCCCTCTTGCACCAGTGCAAATGGCAACGGACTTCAAGGTGAGCTGCCCCGCCCCCTCCCTCCCAAACCTCACCCCGCCTACCTTGCCCGTGACCCTGAGGCGGGGCCACATGGGCGTCTCCGGCTGCTCAAATAAAAAAGAAAGAAAAACAATGCCCCCCGACCCAAAACGACTGGGGAGAACTCACCTTACGTTACCATAGTACAGCTCTATAGCTGCCTACGCCGGTGAAGCGCCACTGGACGGAAGACGGCCTCATGCGTGCATGCGTCTGTGCATGTGCATGTACAAGCTCAGCGATTGGTTTACTTATATAACCATAAACAATTAAGGGACGTTAAGAGCCTCTAGAGACACGCCAACTCCCTGTTATTGATGTAGTACTGTATTACCTAAAATATAGCAAATAAAATATGGCGGCACGGTAGACTCACGGTTCTGGAATGGGGGTCTGATTAGCATGAGGAGTTTGGAGTCTGTATGCGCTGGTTTCCTCTGCGTACTGGTTTCTTCCAGAGATCCCAAGACATGCAGTTTACGCATGACTTGTGCCACTCGGCCATTTTGCCCAGGGTGTCCCCTGCCTTGTCATACCTGAGATAGAATCTCAGGTCATTTTGACCCGGTACTCGATAAGCAGATGGAGAAAATTGATTGATAATAAAGAAAGACTCAGACACACGTAGTCCAGACGGCTGAAGGGAAGCAGCTCCTGAGTCATTGACGTTTCCCTTATACATTGTGCCTTCAGGTGCACTGTAAGCTGAATAATACCATTATATTAATAGCTATTCTACCCCTCCCCCCACGACCTCAAGTGAACTCATCTAAACTCATCTGGGGTCTAGGGTGGTGTACCCCTTGGGTTTCGGTGAAGAACTCTGGGATGATATTTTGATGATATTTTTAATGAGTCCTGGATTAAAGATCACTTTTTTTTTGAGGACCTTATAGCCGTATAGCTGAAGCTGCGATATCGATTTAAACTTCATTTCTGCTACAGAAACCAAACCAATTTGGGTTCTGATAATGGGACAAAGTGGTGGTGGTTTAATCCTTTATGCACATTTATAGGCCTGTAAGGTGGTGTTAATGCTTGTCAAAAGCTCTCCACACTCAGAGAGTAACCAGGAAAAGGGGCAGACACAGTCAAAAGATTACTGTAAGCAATTATTTTGAGTGTTTTTTTTTTTTACCCCTCTTGACTTGTTTGGTTGGAAAATGTGTTTTTAGCTGTAGTGTGTCCATCCAAAATTAATAGCGTTAGGATTAATGAAGTGGGAAATTAAAGTTCACGCTTTTACATGTGCACACTTATTAATATATGGTTTGCAGAAATTAATGAGGAATGCCCCGCCATCACAGCCTTCTGCAAACTTAAAAGCGCCCGAACCGGAACACCACAAATAAACTGAAAGGGGCGAAAATCATTTATATTCCAGCAGCTCACTAGATACCTAATTGTTAAAATGACTGAAATAACGAAGTAAATCAATCTTAAGTCTTTGGGTGGTGCCCCTCTATTTTATGACGTATCTCCAGAGCACACAGCCTAAGGACGGTGTTCCAGCGTCCTCGGTATTAACGTTAAGGACGCACCATATGGATGGCACGCCGAAATACAATTAGGGGTTCCATAATAAGTCTTGATAAGAATGTAGGGGTGGGGTTGGGTTCAGTTTTTGAAACCTGAGAAGTGCCTGGCGTTTGGCCGGCGGAGGGTGGGGGGGCAGCCGTGTCTGACGTTACCAGGGGTGACCATGGTGTTTCTCGGTTGTCAGCATGGACGACCCCAGGGGAGTCTGGGCCGGCGTTTGCCATTGACTGGATGCTAAGAGGAATGTCACATGTGTGGGAGTTCGGGATGCTTTCTGCAGGAAAATGTCAGGATGCCTGCCGGCTCCTTTAAAAAGTGAAGCCTTTCTAGCGTGTCTTGTTAGAAAAGCACATTTCACTTACCCTGCCACACCCTGCCCACCCCCCCCCACCTCGCGCTTTATCCATCCGCCATCTTACATGCAATCACACTTTACGCCTCAACAAAGGGAGTCTTCCCAAATCAATGAGGCACAATGAAGAGTAAACCTTTACTACGAATCCCAGCAGATGCTGTACGTTTGCCCCCCTTTGGTCAGCCTGGGTTTGGCTTTCTTGCATTAAAAAGTGCACCTTCTGAACTGCTTGTTTGTCACTGTAAGGAAGACTAAGCTCCGAGGCCAACTATGCTAACGTAACGTTTTTGTTTTTTTCTGCCTGTTTTTCAGCTATGTCCGGCCTGGTCGTCCCTCCCATGTAAATTGCTCCTTCTGCATCTCCTCTCCATCCTCGTCGCAAAATGGGCTTTTCGGAACATTCGTACAAGTAGAAGACTCGGGTTGAATCGTGTTGTCCACCACAAACGAAATCTACAGCTAATTCTGTTATCGGGGGGAAAAAGACTTTCGTTTCACAGATTTTATTCAGACAAATATGAATTGACATGCGAGCGACTTCTTCATGAACAATTCCATTTTATTGACTGAATTTCTTGTCATATTTTCGCATTTCTCAGTCTTGAAGAAAAAAGGAGGAAAAAAATGCCTATTTTGTATAAACGTTTCTGATTACATCTCAGCTGTGTCTAGCTCATGATGTATGTCGGGAGGAACTCTGTGGATATACCATTAACGAAAACACTGATTTAAAAAGATAATGCCTCAGATTAAGTTTCTCTTACACCGATGCACGACAGTTGTGCATCTCTATAATGTGAATTACTTTTTTTTTTTTTCCTTTTTTTAATTTGTGGTAAGAAGGGGGCCAAGAAAGCGTGAGCCATTGAACTGGAAATAATATTAAAAAAATATATGATTTAGAAAACAAACGTGAACATGAAGTAAATGGAAAAAAATACCTGGTTTTAGGGGTTGGTGGAAATAAGGGAGATTTTATCATGCTTACGTCATCTTAAAATGAACTTTGTAACTTATTGTAGTTAGGAATTGTAACTTTGATATTGCAAAAATTTTTCTCTTGCCTTCAACAAGCACACTGACAGAGATAAAACGCTACTGTCTGTTGGTTAAAAAAAAATGACTTCCACTGCTAAAAGCTTCCTATTAAGCAAGTGTGATCTGCAATGTTTTTCAACTTTTGCTAGGCACTGTATACTATTGCATTCTTAGGCTACTGTGAAGTCTATGTTTCTTGTACCAGAAAGTTACCCTCTAGCTCCTTGTTCCCTAATGTGTTTTGTATGTGGTTATACAATTGTAGACTTTTGTGATTTTGCCAAAGTTGTAGCTAAATATTTATACACTCGTCTTGAATTTTCCCAGATCCACTTAAATATTTAGTACAGAGTTTTATTCCTTCGGAAACAAAAAAAAAAAGAAAAAAGATGGCAAAGGAGTAAAATAATCGTAAACATCGCAACACTTTGTTTCACACAACACTTGCGGTCACTTAGGGAATTTTTTGTAACATATCGATTATAAATATTGTATTTATCTTCAGAATTTTGTATATTGCTTTCCATCGTTTGATTTGATCTTGTATGTATTGTTTGTCATTGCCTGATATTGTGATGCAGCACAGAACGTTATACCAACAACTGTTTCCTGCCATTCGCTTTTTTGTATTAATAGATTGCGATGCCTATACATTTTGTGTATTTCAGAAATTTTGTTACTTCGTCGAGACTTTTCGTCCATTCTTTTTTTTTTTTTTTTTTTTTAATTTCGAGGAAAAGTCAAATTCATTGTTTATTTTTATATTAATTTCTAAGTTATGTAAACAGATACTTTTTTTGAAATAAAAACTGTTTGTTGTATAGTCAAATAAATTGTTTGTGACACATGGCTGTAATAATACTAGTAGAAAATGTGCATGTTCAGGAGCCCCTGAGGGATGATCCAGTCTGTGGTTGTAATCCTTTTTTACATTTGTTTAGTTTTCTTTCATTTTTTTTTTATTTTGCTTTTTTTGGGTAGAACGTAAAAAGTCATACACGATTTACACCTGCCACCTGTGACTACGCCACATAGCTGATCCATGTTTACAGAGGTTTTAAAAAAAAGGAAAGAAAACTTCAAAATGGAATCGCGAAAGCTCACCACTGTTGATTGAAATATGTCCATCAAGAAACGAAACAACAGGAAACGACACACACGTCCTACGGCGCTTTAACAGTGGACTTTACTTCCAGAGTAACCTTTCTGCCGTTTCGGTGACAACCATACGTCACAAATGCCAATCATTTCTCCAGAAATATGATCAATGGTGTAAAAAGCACAAACATTTTTTTACTAAAATAAAAAATAACTATTGTGACCCCTCACCCTTTTCGACTATTTTGTTGTTTTCGTTTCATTATTTAGCTATGTTCAGCAAACCAATATGAAAGTCTAAGAAGTGTTTAAAGATTAGCTTTTATATTGTATCATAGGTCAAATTCCAGGATTTAAATGTTATATATTGTACATGACATTTTGTAACAATTCCAAAAAGTACTGTAGCATCACATTTAGATTAATTTGAACCTGTTCTGTGTCATACTGTTTCTTTTTTTTGTCTTGGATATTGATTTTCCTGACAGTGCCAAATTAGCAGATTGAGGCAAGATGATTTGTATTTATAATATTTATTATTTTCATCTTTTCATCATTACTTTTGCACTGAACACTTTGTAAAATATATTGTGATGTTCTGCAGACTGCAGCATTTAAGGTTCAAATCGAAAGGGGAATTTCCGTCTTGGTAACCTGCACACAAATTTGAATATTTCCTGAAATGCCCCAGAGTAGGAACAGCAAGCAAAGCATTATATAAATAAATGTGCAATGGGTTGGTTTATGGAAGCTCAACAAGGCTTCACTACATGTAAAAAGCCCAGGAAGATGCGTAGACTGACTCAAGGGCACCGAAGGAACATTGTGAATCTCATCATTAATGCAACCCCGTTTGTGTTGTATACCAATTAGCTGCTGAACTCCGTGCTCCACTGCCTTCAATCTGAAGATCTAACTAGAAAAAGAAGGGAAAAAAAAAAGTAGGAAACTGTTAGGGAAAGTACAAGCATTTTGTTTCATGTGTACATTTTTTTCCCAAATATTTTACTGTATAAAGATGTTCATTTTACACAATAATTAAAGTAATTCTTGTCTGTGAATGAACTCTCCCAGTATTTTTGATTTGGTTTTATTTTTTTTTTGTTTTGTTACTCGATCACTCGGTGAACGGCCTGCTGAAAAAAAAAAAAGCATCTTAAAATGATCACGACAACAGTAATTCTAATGATATCATTAAGTATACCCCGGCGTTCGGCGGTGTCGCCATGTTAGCATGCTGCTGCTATGCTATCCATTCACTCTTCGTTATTAACTCCCGCAGAACCAATAACCGTTTCTGAGATAAAACAACTGCATGTAATATGGACTGTTTCCATTACAACACACAATGGTCCCAGTTGCATCATTTTCAAGCAATATTATTATTATTATTTATTTCCATCGTTATTACTACAGGCACTATTATTATATTAATTGACTGAACAAGCACACGCTTTCATTTAAAGCAAATTACAGAGCTCATATCTAGACTTACATGGCCTCTAAGGGGGGGCAGCCTTTTGCTGAAGTTGCGGTTCGAGTAGAAATACCACCGGTTTAACACCACAGGCCCCGCTGGTGGAAACACACCCACACGCCCAGCTATTTACCCTCCGCCATGTCACATGGTCAACCCACTGGCCATGAGAGCGAATGGGACATTCTCCTCAAATTTTCGGGGCAGCCCAGGAGTCAGTTCCATCGTCCCCAGAAATGAGACAAGGCCTTCATTGGCGAGGAAGACAGACAGACAGAGTGGTGGATTCCATTGGCTTGTTACATGAACCTAGATGAGGATTCCATTTCGCTTGTTTTTGACCTAATCTTTTGGTGAAACATTAAGGATATAGGAGTGTTAGCATGAAATGTACCCTATTGACGTTTAGTACCCTGTGCACGAAAACCAGCAGAACGGAGAATTTCTCCCAGATGAACCTGTGTGTGGTCTCTTCTGTTTCAATCAAGGGATCATGCGGTGCCATTTTCCACTCAAATGTTTGAAGGGTAGAAATACGGGGGAAATATAGCTACCAAGCTTCAACATTAGGTAATATTGCAAGTAAGATGTGAGGTATGGGCCACTTAAGGACGTTTTTATTTCATCTAGTGAGAAGGTTGCTGTGACTCAGGCCAGCTTCTAACACCGCTTCATAACACAGCCTCATCCTCGACATCTGAGAGACATTTTGGTTCTCTTCCTCCACCTTCCCAATTTACACCCCACTTGACGTCCGGACACCCGGCTCATCGTTGTGCCACATTAGCCCTCTGCCTAATGAGGTGACGCAATGTCGATTGTACAGACAATGTTGCTGGAGAATGGAACAGTCGGTGATGAATTGCCCACGTCTGGAGCAAAGTAAACGTTATTTAAAGCAAACATACTTACATTTATGAAATGAAGATAATATTACTATTAATTATAATCTATCCACCTTTTAAGTGCTTATTCTGGTTAGAGTCAAGGGAATAACAATAGTAATTATGAATATAATTATTATTTTGTTGTGTCTATATATAATCATTCAGTTAAAAATGTATGCAAACATAATTAAACTTTTAAAGTTAAAGTACCACACTGCTTTCATAACCAACCATACCGAAATACTCGAGTGTTATGGCAAAAAATAAATATCTAAACACTGGTAAAATCCATACAGGCTGGCTGACATTATTTCATGTATTTGCAAAACGAAGCCAATGCAGAACATTATGGACAAACTGAACTTCACCACCCACACTGAGATCAGATCTGCCTGTTTACCAGTTTAGTCACCATTTGGAGGTTGTGGAAGCAGGGAGTATGTTTACCTTTGCAGGTCGATCCATTCCGGTTCTGGGAAGTTGACCTCTCCGCTGAGCCGCGGTGGGTCAGAGAGAATCCGACAACGTGCCGGTGGAGGTTTGCAGAGTTCTCCTGCGTGAGCCGTGAGCGTGGCTCGCCGCCACTCTGCCTGACATTTTATCAGATACTGTGGATCCAGCGTGTTTACGAAATCACCTGAACCAGAGGACTTCTGCATTCAAATGCGTGGTAACACTGCGAAGTTACAGACCTCCGACACGTACTTCTATGGAAACACGATAGATAACACCAAACATGGAGGAAGGGGAAGAAAAAAAAACTGAATACGAGGCAGCTGGTGCGCTTGATGTTGTTAAATTTGTGTCATGATAAGCTTCCAACTTGCTTGTCCAACCAACTGGTTTGTTAAAAGGTTGTACTGTTTAAGGTTGTAGGATACAAAAAAATGTGTGACAGGAATTCAGGAGTTCTAAGAAAACCCAGAGATGAATCCAGGTAGGTTAAATCGGGGGTGTCATACACATAGATGAGTGGAAGAGATGTGGCATAGAGCAGCATTGTCAAACATAAATCTCATCCGTTCATCTGACTGCTCTTCTGGAGTCTTTAACATGGACTATCTGGTACAAGATTGGGGTCCACCATAAACAGGATGCCTGTGCATTGCAGGACACATATGCACACAACTGATGGACAACACAGTGATACCAGTTGGCCTTTTGGACTACAGGAAGAAACCCAAATGACACAGGCAGAGAATGGAGGCGGGACTTGAACCCCAAACTCTCAAGTGGTGAGGCCACTCTGCCATCCTAAAAATCTCCCCTTAACTGATTTTACAAGAAAACGTGCCTCTACCCTAGAAGGCTTGATAGTTAAAATGATGAAGACGAAATCTAAATATAAGTGTCATTCCATTCGTTTTAAGGGTCCACTTCATTGATCCAATAGTTCTGTATAACCTTCCCCAATATAGGGAAGTGTTTAACAAAGACTGGCAACAAACCTATTAGCAGATTTTAAGCAGGCAAAGGCGGACAGACAGTCAGACAGACTAACATCCCATATTATATGATAGTGACATCAGTTTCCAGGTAGGATTTAGTCCTGGGAAGCACATAGCTTATAGGGCAGGGCAGGATGCCCTCTAGATGGGATGCCAGTCCATCTCTGGGCATTCGGACATGTTCACGTACACAGTCATTAATTATCTAACAGCAAGTGCAGAGTCAGCAGTTTGCCAGAAGGAGAGGAGGAAGAGGGAACGACAGAACCTCAACCAAATGCCAAAAGACTCTCACAAGCAGAACGTATACAGCCTTTGGGTCACAAGTCCGACTTTTTCCACAGTATGCGTCGTACTGTCGCGGCGACTCCAAGTCACCGCTATGAGTAATTCATACCTGAATTTTTGACCACTGGATTTGGAGAGAATTAATGTCAATCCCGGGTCTTTCCAGAATTTCTGTGCCGCTCGCAGAACGGGAAAAGCCTGTCAATGGTCATTTGGACAGCACTGACCTGCGTGACCCATGGCAGTCTTGGAGTGGCCCAAGTTCGCACACTCAGTGGGGGGTGATTTGTGGGTTAGCTGGTGACATTAAGCTTTCATCTTCCACTTTTGTGAATTCCTGGAAGGATTTCACCCCTCCAGGGAGCCAGCCTACTTGTCAAGTCAGTGATCCCTAAAGAACATGTGCTGTTCCATTCTGAACGGAGCCTCCACTGGTTTTGGCCTGCTGCGTTTCCATAGTATTCTAAAGGACCCACTGGTTTGTTTGTGTGTAACATGGACTGAAGCTGTAGGTGTAGAATAAAATGACATTTTTAACCAATAAGTGACAATTGTATGACATCCCTCCATTAATCCAGACATGGACCATAAAACCAATATTTCAGCCTACTCTGGAGATGGGCGCCTCAAAAAGAAGGGCATCCAGCCCCCTCCTATGGTAACTGAAAGATTTTCAAAGGGGCATCTTAGCGAATTTGAAATTCACTTTGATACGATTCGGCCCACATTAGCCGTACCGCGAACCGACACCTGTTTTGTTTTCAGTTTGGCCCGTTTTATGTCCCGGTGTGCGGATCACACTTGGCACTTGGCAGCTCTACGTTATTCCCGCTAAGCACTTTGGCATCACCTCGACCCCTCTTTTAACTTTTCAGCAGTCGGAATTCGCGGGAAGCTGAGGATTAGAGACTGGAAAAGGGGTAAGGAGAGACTGCCTTTTAAAGTGAGCGTCCCCGTGTACAAATATTGTCTTCAAAGCGCCGTAACACGGGAATGCATGTGGCAGGTATTGACAGTGAGATCATGGACATACGCACCGCGCGTAAATTTCACTCTACATAGACTTCCAGTGCAAATTTGAACAGACACGGCTCCTGCTGATGGCAGAGGGAGGCATCTTGTTTACAAAG